TTGATATCAATCCCGAGATGTTTTCCAGGGCTTCCTCGAAACTCAAGTCGCCGTACAATCGGGGTCCTGACGGAATTCCATCGGCGTTCCTCAAACGCACTGGACAGTTTATTGTTTCCACTGCTGCACGTTTTTCAACGGTCCTGTTGGAAGCTAGCGCACATGTTTCCAGTACCCAAGAAAGGCAACAAACAGGACGTTGGCACTTCGCTTAGCGCTGTTGCTAATTCGTTCGAACTTGTTGTTATGGAACCGTTACTCACTCACTGTAAGCCGTATATTAGTATCGACCAGCATGGTTCACATCTGCATCTCTAACAGTATGTCGGATCGTGCTCAGACGGATGTCATTTATGCTGACTTATCTGCAGCCTTCGATAAATTGAATCACCGCATATGTATCGCAAAACTGGACAGGCTTGGTATCCACGGTTGCCCTTTGCTATGGTTTCAGTCGTAGCTCACCGATCGCTATCTTACTGTTGTCATTTGTGATCACCAGTCCCGTTCACTGCCACGTCCGGGTAGTCACCTGGGACCGCTGATCTTCCTGATTTACCTCAACAACGTGAATCTAGCAATTGAGAGTCCACGATTAACTTACGCAGATGACCCCAAGGGGATGGTCACTCCACACAGTGTGCCAAAAACAAGCTTGGGCACACCTGGGCACAATCATTGACACTGTTTGGCACCCATGGTTACAATTTTTCTGATCTTTAAAGTTACTGGCAACACTGAACTTTTTCTGTGCCTGCGCAGTGTGCATGTGTCAAAATTTGTTATTGATGTTGCCACAATATAATCAAATTATTTTCAAAACACAACCGTGAGTCTCCACCAAGTCTCGCCATGGATTCTCAATATCGATTGCCCTGGTCCACAGTTTATTCTTGGTTGCAAAGATTCGAAAATGAGGGTGTCTACCAATGGAAAAAATGGATTCGAATTTACAAAAAAAAATCAAGCGTCCTTTGCTATTCTTGGATGAAGCTAAGGAGAGATTCCAGCAGCAGTTTCAATAAAGTATCAGCGTTTGTTCAGTTTGTTCAGGCCATTCCGTGGTACATTTATAACTTGGTGTTCCTCGATGAGGTGAGTTTTGATAATAGAGAGACATGTTACGCCGGAAGGATGATGTTCCGTGGGGAATTTCGCTTTCAGAGCGATTTTATGATTCGTGAGCGTTCCCTCAGAGTTAATTAACCACTTCATCCGAGCAGCTAAAATGACGTTTACTTCCACGAATAAGGTACAGTTCATAAGCTACGTATACATTTTAGAGAGGGCAATTTGCTGGATGTCCCCAATCCATACAAATTAACAAACATTTATATGAACGTTTGTCTACGCGAGGGTAGGCAGATCTAAAACCATTTAAAATCAGTCTACGTAGTTTATAAACAGCCCCTAAACTAATAGTTCTTTCCCGAGGAAAGTAGCCAAAATTTGCGCGTTTCATAAAAAAAAAAATTAAATTTGTTTGTCCAGTTTTGTGGAATCGCTGGTAGAAAGTACCGCCAGCTCTGCTTGACAAAGTGGTCCATTGACGTTAGAATCTTTGTTTACAAAAGCAGATACGTCCTTTTGAAAAATCATCCTTGATATACGTGGATATACGTTGGTACTGCTGTAAACAAATTGTTCTTCAAAAATCACAGACAAAGAAGTTTTTTTTTTCTTTGGATTTGTCTTTTCAGACAGGCTAAGACCATGGCTGATCCATCTGGCCGATGGTAGTCAGTAATTTGCTTTGTTTCTTTAATTTAAAGGTGTAGGTTTTTGATGAATGGTTGTCCGTCTTAGATGTGGATGTTGTTTTCCCTAATAAAAATTGTATGGTTAATTTGCTTAACGACGTGTTCTGGGTATCATCCAAACCATTTGTGGAATAGTTCAATGATTTGGGTTATCATTCGTTTATGGTTATTTTTTATTAGGGTTCCTTTAAGAACTTCACCACTTGTTTCAATTCTTCTTCGCAGCTTTCCGTCAGGATCATTTCTAACGGTTTCATGTAGTCCAGTACTATGTATCTACTTCTACTTTGGTTGTATCGAGGGCAGTCGTATAGGATGGGTTATAAGTTTTCGGTTACTTCACACCAATCACACGTATCGTACTGTTCCCATCCCCAGCTTGCTTTTCTTTCCTTGGTCAGACTGTGTCCGCTTCTTATTGTGCTTAAGATTTTCACTTCATCTGGCTGCAACTTGAGATCCTTGCTCCATATCTTCTTGTTTAGCCGGTCCATGAGCTGGTAGTGCCATTTCCCTTTCTCCTTCGATGTTGCTTTGTACTTCCTGGTCCAATCCTCCCATATTTCTGTGTTGCTGAGTCTTAAGGCGTCTCCTACCGTTATTCCATGGTATTTTTCTTGTGTTTTGGTCACGGCAAGTTGGACCGCTGTCTCGTTGCCTTTGATACCATTGTGACTTGGTACCCATTGGATCTTGATCGTTCGTCCTCCAAGGTCCTGGAATTCCTTGTGAATCGCCCACAGCAGCTAATTTGCTTCGTATAGACTTTCGTTCAGCAACATATCGTAGGCACTCCTGGAGTCGGTGAATATGACCGTTTTCTTGTAGCATTTCTCTTTGGTTAGCTCTATCGCCTTCGGAATTCCGAGCAATTCAGCATTCGTAATCGTGAAGTTGATATTGATGCTTTCCGCTAAGCTGGTCTCATCTGTCTCATCGAACCGTGCCTGAAGCCGTTTTTGAAGCGTCTGTATAAATTCTGTTATGCTGTTTGTACAAGATCTGGCTTGCTTCCTGGAAAAGTGCCTGCCATACTGCTGCAGGGGTGCGTACCTTCTTGGGCCTTGCTTCCATTAACGTTGTTTTAATTATCCTATCGAACTCGACTTCAGGAATGAATCGCCTTCTCTTCAACAGGGGGAACTCCCTGTCTGAAGGGTGGACTTGGAAGAGTAGGTCCACGTACTTGTCTGTGATCTCCGTTAGAAAAGATTCGTTGCTCGTTTATCTATTTAGAGTCTCTCCGACGAACTTCATCAGCGGAGTTCTGTACCAAAGTGTCCTGATGAGTTCCCTTTTCGTAAGGGATTCGATCCGCTGTTCCATAGGTAGTTGGCCTGCTTCCGCCAGCATAACGTGAACTGGAGTGGTGCTGAGGAAGTTTATTGCTTTTCGCACATATGCATTTTGTTGCACTTGTAGCTTCTTCAGGTGGGTCTTTGCTGCGTTTCCGAACACTGTTGCTCCGTATTCCATCCGGCTCCGGATCAAAGCGTTTCCTATTTTTACGAGGGTTTCCGGATTAGCTCCACTTGATTTCCTTGATAGCATTTTAAGTAGTCCGATTTCGCTCCCCGCCTTGTCTCTTACAGACTCTATGTGTTTCCTGTGCGCTTATCCTCTGTCAAGCACATACCCAAGGTACTGATGGGTGTTTACCATGTCGATTTTGACCCCACGTACAGCCACTTTGAGGCCTTCAGTCCGCTTTCTAGTGAATGGGATGATCGCTGATTTGTGACTGCTCACTTTTAGGTTCAGTTTTTCTAATCTGTCGTAAAGTTGCGGTAGGAACTTTGAGCAGGTATCTGCAGCTTCTTCCACTGAGTCTGCTGTGATGATGACAGCGAAATCGTCCGCAAATTGCACCAACTCGCAGCCATCGGATGAAAGGTCATGAAGCTCGGCCGTTTACAAGTTGAAGAGAATCGGTGAGAGGGGACAACCTTGCGGTAATCCCGGACAGAAAAGTTGCTTCTGGGCGTTTTCAGGCTGTGTTCCATTTGGTGAATTTTCACTTAAATTTGACGCTTCGAAAATAAATTGTGATGTTCGAAAATCCCTCTGCTGTTGATCTTACGATTTTCGAGAAGGTCTTTGTCAAAATTGATTCCTGGTATGTCAGAGACAAGTCTGGTACAATGTTTATTTCCATCAATCAAATTTAAGTGAAAATTCACCAAATCAGGGGAGATTTAGCTTTAATTCGCGAGAAATCGGTGATTGACATGTTTGTTTACAAAAGCAATTACGCCCTAATCTCGAAGTTCCCCGGATGTCAAAAGGGTCTTGCTCAAAACTTAAACAATGACTTGGATCGTCGGCTTCTTACGAATGACAACACACCCACTCAAACTAACTAAGGCTGTGAACCATTTGCTGAGTTAAATTTAACTTGTGGTTAAAAGGGACATTTCGAAAGTTATTTTCTATGTTCGAAAATCCCTGCGCTGTCGATCGACCAGTTTTCGAGTCACGGTTGTCAAAATTTAACTTCTTGTCTGTCAGAAATAACCATGCTCGGATAGTAGGGTTGATCGATAACTTTCCATTTGTCAAATTTTAACCAAAAGTTAAAAAATTCGCCAAATGGTTCAGAGCCTAAGGCTGTGTTCCATTTGGAAAATTTTCACTTAGATTTGACACTTCGAAAATAAATTAAGATGTTCGAAAATCCCTCTGTTGTTGATCGGCCGATTTTCGAGAAAGCGTCTGTCAAAATGTATTCCTTGTCTGTCAGAAATAAGTCTGCTGGAATAGCAGGCTTATTTGAAAAATTTTCATCTGTCAAATTTAAATAAAAATTGACCAAATGGAACACAGCCTAAATCATCTGACAGAGAAATGTTTGTTCGATGAGCTGGTGTAGTCATATTCCGTGGGTGAGTGGTCATTCAAGAGAAATCGACGTTCAAAGTCATTGTTTACGTTTCGAGTCATACCCTTTTGACATGTTTCCCCTGAAATGGAACACAACCTCATCGGAATGTGCCAAAAATCTCCATATTTTACATAATAATTTCAAATTCAACCATTTGAACCGGACCTTGCAAGCTTATCTGGCTCTCTCTCTCTCTCCCCCGCTCTCTGGAAACCAATTCCAATTGTGCAAGGTCATGTTCAAACTTATACGACCACCTTCCTTATCGCCACTGGCTACCGAGCTCAATAAAATCCCTCCCACTATGTCTAATCACTTCTAACCTCCTTCCTACCTTGTCTCTCCCCGCTCTTCCGCAGATCACAACCCGCAATGGACCGCCGGTTGTCGTCCCATTCGGACTCATCCCAGGAACCGATGGACATTAGCTCCTCGAACCGGACGGCCAACAACAGCAGCAGCACCGATGCCAACAACTCCTCCCTGAACAACCACCAACACCACCACCAGCACCACCATCTCCTCAGCAAAGCCCTCCAGCTGCACCACCACCACCACCACCACCAGCATCAAACCAGCGCCGATTCGGACAATGTCGACTCGGACGACGACCAGCAGCAGCACCAGCCGCCGCGACATTCGGTGCTGTTCCAAGCGCGGCACAATGCCCGCAGCGACAACCTGCACCAGCTGATGGACAACATGCTGAGACGGAAGTTCCAAAGTCTGAACAACAACAACTATGGCAGCGGCGGCACCACGCTGTTGCAGCAGCAACTAGCGGCGGCGGCGGCCAACGTGGAAAACAACAATCACGAACCGACGGAGGGCGACGGCAAGCGGTACGTGTGCCCGATCTGCGAAACAATCTCCATGACCAAGCATGACTTTACGGAGCACATTCGGTCGCACAACAACAGCAAATCCGGATCGTCCGGCGACAATGGGGACGGGCAGTTCGTCTGCAAAATCTGCTCCAAGGTGCTCTCTTCGGCCTCTTCGCTGGATCGGCACGTGCTGGTCCACACCGGTGAGCGGCCGTTCAACTGCAAGTACTGCAATCTAACGTTCACGACCAACGGGAACATGCATCGGCACATGCGAACCCACAAACAATCGGAACGGGAGAGCTACGAAAGTGACGGATCAACGGATAGCGGCGGAAGCAGCGGTGCCAGCAGCGGACTGGCCAACAACAACAACAATAGCTACAACAGTAACTACGATGGGGAGGGAAAGCGGAAGAACTCGGACGAAAATGTGCATTACAAGCGGAAGATCCGAACCATCAACAATAACAACATCCTGGACGGAAGCGTGACGGAGGGTGTCCAGAAGTTCTGCTGCCCGGTTTGTATCCGGAACGACTTCTCCAGCATGGTGAGCCTGGAGAATCACATGGACCGGGAACACCCGCAGATTCCGGCCAAGTGCAGACACTGCGAGGTCGTGTTCAAGAGCTACAAGGCCCTGAATGCTCATCGGTGCGGCAACAACAACTACCAGAACATTACGCCCGGCTTCAAGGATTTGACGTTTGTCGATTTCTCGAGCGAAAAGTTTCCGCTCATTGCGAAGAGCGTCTGCGAGCAAAGCATCCGGACCCCGGTCACGAGTCAGAAGTTTGAATGTAGCAAGTGCTATCGGGCATTCCCGTGCTCGAAGACGCTGGAGATGCACGTGAAAGATTGCGGTCTGTTGGAGAACACTTTCAACAGCACGGGGGCGAAGCGGAAATGGAAGACCAGCGAGGGTTCTTCGGAGGATGATCTCAAACGGGATGATTTCTTCGCCAATCTGGACCTTCAGAACAAATCCATGTCGACGAACATGTCGTCGAATGTGTCGGAAGCACCGACGACGCCGTCGTCGTTGGACAAGTCCTTCTCTTCGCCCATCATGTCCCGGGAAATCAAGCAGGAACCGACCTACTACCACCACAGCGGCGCAAACTTCCCCCCTCAACAGGACACCAAAGATCTCGCCGACATCCAGTCGATCATCAATGTAACCTCCTCGGGAAGCTTCTTCCGTCAGTTGGACAAAGATCCGTACCCTCCGCTCAAGGATGAAGAAGAAGCTCAGGATGCCTTCACGGCAGAGTTCCGCAAGATGAAACTCCGCGGCGAGTTCCCTTGCCGACTGTGTACCGCCGTGTTTCCGAACCTGCGCGCCCTCAAAGGGCACAATCGAATTCACGTTTCAGCCGCCGGCCCTGGACCGTACCGCTGTAACATGTGTCCGTACATCATCAACGACAAAGCCACCCTCATCCGTCACATGCGAACCCACAATGGGGACCGCCCGTACGAATGCGCCCTTTGCAATTACGCCTTCACGACCAAGGCAAACTGCGAACGCCATCTGCGGAATCGCCACGGGCGCACCAGCCGGGATGAAGTCAAACGCGCCATCATCTACCACCCGTCGGAAGATTCGTCCTGCGACGATCCGCTCAAGAAGCTGCAAATGTTCAACACTCCACCGGGCGACTTCGATCGGGATTCCATGGATGACCAACCAACGGACCGAAGCACTCCGGTTTCGCACCTCAAGGACATGCTGATGCCCATTCCGATGAGCCTAGTCACCAAAATAGACAACAACCCGATGCCAACGACTCCGGCCAAGATCCAGGTCAAGAGTCTGGAGAAGCTAAATCAACTGACTCCGCCGCAGGAGCAAGACTACGATAAGGACCCGGCAGAAACGCCAACGATTCCACCGACGACGGAAACGGCACGGCCCATAGATCTCAGCATGGATGCTTTGGATCTCAGCAAGAAACCGGAACCGATCACCCGCCGCGAGCATGATGTCGATTCCGACGATCAGCGTTCGGATGCCGAGGATGAAGACGATGACGATGAGGACGACAATGGCCACCGGGACGACGATGCCGAAGATGAAGACGAGGAAGACCAGCAGCAACCTGCCAAGATGCCAAAGCTGGATCTGTCCCTCCTGGAGAAGAATCAACAGCAGCTGCAGCTGATGCAGCAGAAACTCTTCAGCGAAGCTCTGTCCAAGATGGACCCCGCCCACTACTTCCAGCTCAGTCAGCTGTACAGCCGGTTCGGCTTCCCGGCCACGCCATTCCCACTGCATCCGCTGTTCCTGCAGAACCCTCTCCTGTGCGCTCCAGGAGCCCTCGGTGACCTGAAAAACTTCTTCCCCAAAGAGTTCCCCAACATGTTGCCACAAATGTCCGGTGGAAGCCTCATCGGAAACCCGTTCCATTCGCCATCCGAATCGCCCAAACAGCAGGATCCCTGCCAACCGCAGCAGCAACAATCCCAACCACACTCGTCGATTCCTCTGTCCGTGAATGCCAATCACCACTCACCGGTGGCGTCGAAACATGCTCAACCATCGCCGCAAGGGTTGCCAAATCACCACCAGAACAAAGCCCTTGGGCACCCACAGCAGGCGCCACCGCCACCTCCTCCGCCCCAAATGCCACCGATTCCCCTCGGAAACGGACCCGTCAAAATGGTCATCAAGAACGGAGTCCTAATGCCAAAGCAGAAGCAACGCCGCTACCGTACCGAGCGTCCCTTTGCCTGTGAACACTGTTCAGCCCGGTTCACACTGCGATCGAACATGGAGCGCCATATCAAACAGCAACATCCGCAGTACTGGTCCCAACGGCAACGCGGCGGGCACCACATGATGCGAGGACGCGGAGCAAGCCACTCGGGAATGAGCCAAGGTCTACCACCGCAGCATCATCACCCATCATCGATGACGGCAGCAGCTGCGGCAGCATCGGCATTCGGAGGCATTTCCGAGCAGGTCAAGTACGCCATCTTGGCACAGCAGTCGGGTAAGGCTGGTCATGGTGGCGGTCGAACGGCGGAAGCCAGCGGGATGAGTAGCATGCTGCAGAATATCATTGCTCAAGGACAGAATCCGTACCAGGCGCTGCAGCAACAGGAGCATCAGCAGCGAATGCAGATGGAGATGCAGCAGAAGGTTCAGCAAAAGCAGCAACATCAGTCACATCAGCCGAGGTTGGAGGGAAGACCAAGTGCCAATCATAGCAGCAACAACAACAACGGGCACGGTGCAGATGATGAAGAGGAGGAAGATGAGCGGGAGCTGGTCATTGACGAGGAATTTCAACCGGAGGATTTGAGCAAAGGAAACGAGTCGGAGGATGAGAAGGTGGTCAAGCGGGAAAGTCCGGTGTTCCAGCATCAGATACTGAAGCAGAAGCTGGAGGAGAGCAAGGACCAGAGGCAGCAGGCGGCGAAGGCCGTGGCCGAAGGGATTCTCGAGCAGGCGATGCGTCAGCGAAAGGAACTCGAGAGGGAGAATGAGAAGGAATCGGAAGCAGCGGCCGCCAAGGAGGTCGATAGCGGAAAGGAAGAAGGCGATTTGGTGTCCGTTTCCAAGTTGGTGGACAACGCAACTAACGTTGCGTTTGAGAACTATTTTAGGTAAATGTCGACATCTCTTTGCGTAGTTAGCGTCTAAGATCTTTGGAATATTATTAATGAAAGGTTTCTTTTACAGCAGACCTGAGGTTCCGCTGTCCCAGGATCAGAGCGATGAGGAGGGCTTGGTGGCGTCCGGGTCGGCATCGGAAAGCAACAACTCGGGAACGGAAGATCCCAATCCGTCGTCGATTTTGCTGAAGAAGAAATCCGCCTACAGTTTGGCCCCGAACCGGGTCAGCTGTCCGTACTGTCAGCGCATGTTCCCGTGGTCCAGTTCGCTGCGGCGCCACATCCTCACGCACACCGGCCAAAAGCCATTCAAATGTTCTCAATGTACGCTTCTGTTCACTACCAAGTCCAACTGCGATCGGCACTTGCTGCGAAAGCACGGTGACGTCGAATCGGCCATGTCGATTCCGGTTCCGATCGACGATCTGTTGGATCCGAAACCGGAACCCATTCCGGTTGCCGTTGCCGAAGCCATTGCCAAATCGAAAGCCACGCCACCAACTTCCCGCCCAGTCAGCCCCAGGCCCCATCCTGCTCAACCCACGGAAGAACCGAAGACCGCCGCCGCTAACGAACCGGAACCGGAAGAACCTGAACCAATCCCATCGCCAGATCCACCGCAAATCAAAGAAGAACCTACCGCCGGCGACGAAGAAGCTCACACATCCGTCGATGACTCAACGATCCCTCCGATCAATTCGGATCTCCCGTTCAAGTGCCACCTGTGCGACAGTTCCTTCGCCGATCGCGTTACGTGTTTGGACCACATCAAACAAGCACACGTCCACGACTTTGCCCTCCTGATGAACAAGGTGACTCTGGAGGCGGAAAGCGAAGCGCCCTCCGCCTCGCCCGACGACGACGAAAGTGGCAACAATGGCGAAGGTCGGGGCGGAAAGTATCCCGACTACGCCAATCGGAAGGTAGGTCGCAGGTCAGTTTAGCGACGACGCCGACTAGTGCCCCCTCGAAGGAACGTTACCGTACTAATTGCAGGTCTTTTCTTTGTCCCTTCCCACGAAACAGGTAATTTGCGCCTTTTGTCTGCGTCGCTTCTGGTCGACGGAAGATCTGAGGCGCCATATGCGTACGCATTCCGGCGAGCGGCCGTTCCAGTGCGACGTCTGCCAGCGCCGGTTCACCCTGAAGCACAGCATGTTGCGTCACCAGCGGAAGCACAAGTGTGGCCGCCTCAACGGGAGCCTCTCGAAGGCCACATCCGACGTGAGTGATGACGAGCAGGATGTCCCCTTGATTCACCTCCCAACGGCGGCGGCGGCGGCAGCAGCAGCAGCAGCAGCGGCGGCCGTTACCCGCTCCAAGTCGCTCCTGAGCCAGTCGGATCTGATCGGAAACCTGCTCGGCATCAACGATCAGAGCATCCTCAACCGGATGCTGCTCGGATCCGCCTCGGAAGCGGCCAAACTGCTCGGCGTGGAGAAGTAAGTTCAACCGGTAGCCGCCGGTGTTTGTTCAGCGAAAAGCAGATTCTAGTCATTTACTTTGTAGAAGCAAAAGCAAAAACCGAGCAATTCAGTTTGTGTTACGATTTCCCATTCCACGAAACGATTGATCTTTGCGAAGCATGCGTGCGTGTAAATAGATTTCCTTTCTTTAAAAAAAAGGCGAAAAGCTAACGCTTTCCCATACCCGACACAGCGAGTTGGTGTCGAGTTGAGTCCTCGAATAATATTCTCTTTACAGCGGTACGCGCGATTGCAGTCGGATCGCCAGATTCCACACACAAAATAATTGAGTTAATTTAGCTCCGTAATTTTTAAAACCAAGCCTTATCAACATCGAAAATCAAAAACAAATAGCGAGTAAGGGTTGTGTAGTGTGGTAGGCCTATTTATTAAACTTATTAGAGAGACTTAAACTCCTTCGAGGGATCGCTCGCATTTGCGATCCGATGTGTAATTTATACTAGGATAACTAGCAGGAGCAGAGAGCAGCCTTTTACGCATGAACCGAAGTGGCTTAGTAACGAGTAGCTGATATTGTACTTAAAACAAAAGCGCCCACCGCTCATGTCCGCGGTGGGGGCAGTACAGAAAATCAAAATTTGTTGTAGGATTTATTGTATAGGCCGTTTGTTGCACTGAACGAAAACAGCATGCTTTTTTTACTAGCTTAGTTAAGTGTTCTCTCTTACCATTTTTTTTTTAAATTTGTTTTTACCTCAGTACATTCGTGTAAGTCAGCGTTTTCAAAAGACTGTTTTATTCTCTTTATACAGCAAGACAAATGCTTAACTTAATTTTAGATGTAACCATGATAGGTAGATTATTTTACAGAAGAAAAAAAAAGAAGAACCAAACAACTGCTTAATTTTAAAACGAATAGGTTTCCCATTGCTTTTATCACCAATAAGGTTTTCCTTTTTATACACAAAGTGTGTGTTTGTGTGCATATTAGCATGTAGTTCTTTAATTTACCAACCCACAAACAGAAATGATGTGCCTCTTGTAGAAACACGAAAGATTTTTAATCATTCCTCTTAAATAGCCATGTAAGAAATTCCGGGCTCTGAGCCTTTCCAGAAGCAGCAGCAGGCGTTCGTTTGCTTGTTTGTTCTCCCCCCACCTCAAAAATCCCACAATTCTTTTTCTTCAGTAGTTGTACATACAAGTACTTAATTTTTGTGTTCTATTTTAATATTTTTTGTTTTTGTTCTTAGAAATTGATTCGCGTGTGAAAAGACTAAACGAAACAATATACAGCAGATAACCAAAGTTGCGAAAGACGAAAACCGGAAGCTTAGTAGCGGTGCGGTTCCAGTTCTCCACAGTGAACCGCACACGAAATGAAGGAGAACATTTTTTCGAGTGCAATTCAAAGCAAAGAGAACGACTTTTTAACTTATGAAAAACAAAACAAACAAAAAAGTGGAAATCCCAAAGATGAAAAAAGAAAAAAACCCTAATTTTACTAGTAGAGAAAATAGCCCTGATATGTGTAATAAATAAAGCAAAAAACTAACAAATCGAAACAACGCAAAAAAGTCCTTTCTTAAGCTAGGAAACGAATAAAAATAAAACTTCAAGTGCCATCTGACGAAGTGCGTGCGAAGACAAGAGAAAGTTTGCTCAGTTGATAGAGTGTATCCTTTCCTGATCAAAAGAATAATCAGTTGTTTCCGTTTTTTTTTTTGCTGTTTTTGCCTGATAGTGGACAAAGTTCATGAGAAATCAATTACGAAAAGAAAAAGAAAAAAAAATGCAACGAATTATAAGCAAATGAAAATTGCCTTTCCGTTTTCTAACGAGCGAAATGTGAGGGGCGAGTTTCTTCTAGCAACTAGAACTAATCACGATGACAAATTGAAGCGTAAGAAATTCCAGCAAACGTAAAACAGCAAATCAGTCCATACAGCAAACAAAAAAAAAATAAAGGACAAGAAAAACAACATATATAAATTATTGAACAATATTACATTTTAGTGCATATTACTAAATTCTTATTTGAAATGAAAACAAAAGGAAATATGTCAAATAAAAATACGATTGAAATAAAAACCTAACTTAAACATAGTTACTTATATATTATATATATGAATAAACATGATCTATGATTGAAATATATCAATAAACTTTTGAAAAGATAGCAGTTTTTGGTGGAAAATGTGTTCTTGTCCGAAAACCAGCGTTGAAAATTATCCTGCATAGCCCTAATAAACATCAAACCTAACATCATTTCTCCGCACTCTTCCATTAAATTTTCAACATAAAATTAAGATTTTTTTAAAACCGTCAAAAAGTTCATCCTTTTGGATCTAGCAGGGCCACGATCACGGACTCACTTCCCAGGTTATGCAGCAGACACCGGAAGACCGAAACAACTATAAGGGAAACTTCGGATTACGCGTAAACGTGAACAGTGAACAAGGAATACTTTCTACGTCTATATTAATTGATATGCGTTACAAGAATGGCAAAAGGAAATTAGCACTGTTTCTTCTCCGCAATCAGTGCCAGTGGTGACAACCGTAGCTGTCATTTCAGTTCAGTGTCTTAGGGAAAATATCGCACAAATCTACAACACCAACACTCCTCCTCGAAATTTTCCAGATTTTCATTTGGAAACGCCTTCGCCAACCAAACCCATGTGTAGTATCGCGGCCTCCTCGCTAGCTGGTCGTTACTTGAATGCCCTCTCTATCTCTCTATCTGCCCGTTCTCGTCTATGCTTTCACTACCTCTTTCACTACCACACCCTTATCAAGGCCGAGGTAGCTTAACCCAAAGGTAGTCCTATTTTCTTAGACACAAAGGTTTTTTGGTAAAGGTATGACTAATATACTACAATCCCCCCCTTGGAATAAAAAAGCATTGTAGATTACCAATGTCTTCATTTATTGTTTTATCCGTTTACAAACAGCTTTATCCCTTCAGTGTGAGATATAATCCTCATATTTGCTTGGAGCTTTCCTAATCCTTTTAATAGGTACTCCTGCAGATGTAGAATCACCCTCGGAATCATCAACCTGAGTCTGTGGGGCGACTGTTTTAGAAGCGATCCCATTTGGAGAATACCCAAGATCATTTCTCTCAACTCGCTCCAACACCTTCTTCAAGTGAGCTGAACTGCGTCTGTATTCCTTACCGGATTTTGCTGATTTGATGATTGTATCAGTCCCAACTTTGCTCTGAACTATGAACTCCTCATTACTGAAATTCGTATCCAACTTGTTACCCTTTCGCATTCGTTTAGCCAATACAATATCACCCTCCTTTATTTCAGAATGCTTGGCATTTCTCTTTTTGTCTGAATACTCTTTCCCCTTTTGTTTGACAATGGCGTCTCGTTCTCGGACCGAACTATCCTCGTGGAATATCATGATTGATGGAACTTTGCTCCTGATAAGCAAACCCTACACGCATCAATATATTGACGCGAAGGGGAATTATTGACAATAATATTGATGATGTGAATTCAGAAATATTGTCAATCTCGATGTATTGACGTCAAAATAGAATGTATTGACAATACGATTATTGTCAATAAAAGTAATCGTGTGGGGTCCACTATACGTCTTCCAAACATCAATTCGCCGGGTGACTTTCCTGTTGAGGGATGATTTGTCGAATGATACGTCAATAAATAATCACGTAGTTCTTTCCTCCAGTCCAAACCCAACTCCTGGGCAATGCGAAGACGTTTTAGAATGGATCTGTTCTGGCGTTCCACTTCTCCGTTGGATTGGGGCCAATAAGGGATGGTATTCAAAATTTTTAATCCTGTTGATGCACAGAACTCTTTTATTTCCGCACAATCAGCACTAAACTGACGAGCATTATCTGCCTTAATGACCGAAGGGACTCCATACCTACCGAACATAATAGCCAACTCTCTAATTACATCGCTTGAAGTAGTGGATTGCATTTCGCAAACTTCAATGAACCGAGAGTAATAATCGATGACCACAAACAAACTTTGTCCCTCCGGTAATGGACCAAGGAAATCAACGGCCAAAGTATGCCATGGATAAGACGGAAGCTGGCTACGGGTCATTGCTTCTGGTGGATCTGGGGCTGCCACAAGCGTGCAACCTCTGCAGCTTTTTACGTATTTCTCCACATCGGAATCCATTTTCGGCCACCACACATTTGACCTCAAATGGTTCTTCATCATCGATATTCCAGGGTGACCATCATGAGCAGAAGACAAAACCCTATTCCTAAGGGATTTTGGCACTACAATACGATCTCCTCTAAGCAAAACATCTTCAAACTGACACAGCTCATTTGTCAGCACCCGATATTCAATTGGCAGGTTATCTTGCGTACCGTTGAACAGCTGTTCTAATATGTTCTTGATTTCAGAGTCTGATTGTGAAGCTTCTTTGATATCATTCCACGTGAGCGCTGTCGAAGAAAGAGCAGATATCGTTATTTCTTGAACCACTATCTCTTCATTCGCGTCAAATGGTCTGGGTTCTAGTACAGCTAGGCGGGAAAGAGAATCAGCCACATTTTCCTTACCAGCGATATGTTTAACTCTGTAGTCAAACGTTTGCAGCCTCAAAACCCAGCGTTCGATTCGCGCGCAGGGCCTGGAACGTTTTGCAAACAAAAACGATAGCGCTTTGCAATCAGTCATGATATAGAAACTTCTCCCTAGCAAATAAAACTGAAAACGCTCTACTGCCCAGACGATAGCCAGCGCCTCTTTCTCCGTCTGGCAGTACCTACGCTCCGTTTTGGTCAGCGATTTGGAGGCAAAACTGACCACACGATGTTCGTTATCCTTGTTGAACTGAACCAGCAGTGCCCCAAGCCCATGCGAACTTGCATCCGCAATAACGGCAGTTCGGTCTTCTAATCTATAGAATCCCAAATTTTGAGCATTGCTTAAAACCGCTTTTATCTCATTAAAAGAGTCATCCTGTTCCTTTGACCATTCAAATTTGACGTCCTTTGCTAACAACTTCCGTAGCGGTTGATCTGTGGTTGCCAAAATAGGTATGAACTTGTTCATGTAGTTCGCCAACCCAAGGAAACTGCGGAGCTCCTGCTCATTTTTAGGCTCCCGGAATGATAGCAAAGCTCGTATCTTCGAATCCGATGGCCTGATCCCTTTATCGCTGATTCTGTGTCCAAGATACTCTAACTCGGTGACTCTAAACTGACATTTTTCCCAATTGAGGGCGACATTGCGACTTTTGAAACGGGTCAACACCTGAAACAGTACATTTATCTAGCAAGGAATCATCACATACAAAATAAAATAACACAAATTTGATGTTATTTCATTCACTTTTATTATCAAAACAAAACTTGTTACATTACCTCATTTAGGCGAACATCATGTTCCTCCATATCTTTGCCTTCGATGATGACGTCGTCGAGGTACCAAGCTACTCCCTCCCATCCTGACAAAATCTCATCCATCGCTTTTTGGAAGAGCTCCGGAGCCGTCACCAACCCAAATGGCAACCGTTTGAACCGGAATAATCCTCGTCCTGTGATGAAGGTGGTAACATCTTTGGATTCATCATTGAGTTTGATTTGCAAGAAGGCCTCTTTGATGTCAAGCTTGCTCCAGACCGTACCTCTACCAAGTCGCGCAATGTGGTCATCCACCACCGGCATAGGATGATGCTCTCTTAAGACCGCTTCGTTTACACGACGAAGGTCAAGGCATAATCGTACTTCACCGTTTGTCTTCCCTACCACAACTAGCGGCGATACCCAGCTTGTCGGCCCTGTTTTCGACTCAATAATGTCACGCTGAAGTAACTCGTCCAACTTTTTGTTGACAGCTGCTTCCAGAGGCAAAGGCAGTCGGCGCATGGGTTGAAAAACAGGTGCAAAGTTGGGGTCAACGTGAATGAATGCTTCTACGCCCTTGATCGTCGAAAACGGTGATGACAAATCGTTGACTTTGTTGATATTCAACCCAACTTTCAGAATGCCCAGTTGTTTGGCAGTAGTGTCACCTAGCAGACAACGCTGGCCACCTTCGACCACCAGAAATTCCACCTGAGTTCGGCTTTTTCCCACCTCTATGTCAGCAACAAAAGAACCCAAAATCTTCAACGGATCATTACTTCCATAAGCCTTTAGGATCCTGGTACTTCCTTTCGTGGATGACTGCAACAATACCCGTTTATCCTTCAGTTTGGACCAAGACGCTTTGCTGATAAGATTGGCGTCAGCACCGGAGTCTACCAGCATTTCAATTCAACGCCACCGATGTCGCACGTCACAACGTTGCTTTCGTTGCCCGAGTAGAAAGCATAGTATACTTTGTCCTGTCCAATCTCCTCCTTGACATTACTACTGTCCTCACAAGTTGGTTGCTCATTCTGTACCGCTCGAATCTGCTTGCCACCTTGATCCGGAAGTGGTCGTTGCTTCTGTTTGCGGCACAGTCGTTCAAAGTGTCCATAAATCTGACAATTTCTACACTGTTTGCCCCGAGCTGGGCACGCTTGTGACGCGGCCACATGACCTACACGACCACAGTTGTAGCACGCATTATCTCGCATTGGCTTGAATTTCACCGACGAATCTTTAGACCTCGTAAATCGTTCTTGTTTTGTGTGACCCACTCGACAAATCTTCTGAGGGGGCTCGTTCATATTCATTTCTTCGATTTGTTGATCCACGCCTTCCAACGAGATTCCGAGAGCTTCAATATCGGCGAAAAGTAGATCCTTAAGCAAAATTCTTCGTCTTACTTCGTTCGAACTGCATCCCTCCACCACAGCATCTGTTAAGTAGATCTCCGTCAAAATCGCTTCAATCTCCCTTCCATATCGTTCGAAACCGCATTCAGAAACTTGCTGCTTCAACCGAATGATGAAATCGGCAAATCTCTCACCGGATTTTTGTCTTAGCTGTCGTAGCTTGCGGCGCTCCGACGTCGTTTGGTGACGAGGCTCAAAAAACTCGTCGAACTTTTCGACTGCTACATCGTACCATTTCGGAACGAGCGAGACTATCGGCATCTGGTCACGATCCTTCAAATTCTTGAAAACGGTTTGTAACGCTGGTCCGCCTAGATGCAGTAACTTAGCCCTCATCATTTGCTGGTCCGTAATACCATACGCTGCGAAATAGCATTCCAGCAATTCTTTCCAGGATCTCCATTCTTTTGCC